GTTGTGAAAGCTGGACCATAAGGAAGGCTGAGCGCCGAAGAATTGAGGCCTTTGAATTGTGGTGCTGGAGGAGACTCCTGCGAGTCCCTTGGACCACAAGGCGATCAAACTGGTCAGTCCTAGAGGAGATCAACCGTGACTGCTCTTTGGAAGATCAGATCCTGAAGATGAAACTCAAATACTTTGGCCACCTAATGAGAAGGAAGGACTCCCTGGAGAAGAGCCTAATGCTGGGAACAATAGATGGCAAGAGAAGAAGGGGATGGCAGAGGATGAGGTGGCTGGATGGAGTTGCTGAAGCAGTTGGTGTGAGCTTAAGTGGACTCTGGGGGATGGTGGAGGACAGGAAGGCCTGGAGGAATGTGGTCCATGGGGTCGCGATGGGTTGGACACAACTTCGCAACTAACAACAACAGGCCTTTCCCAAACCCCACGTTTAATTTTATGGATTCAGTGGAACTTTTAGCTTTGAATGAGTTCACGCCACCTTTTCTGACCTAGATGACTTAGACTGTGGCCCGCTCATCACCTCTAAGCAGCATGGCTAGTGCTGGTTGGGGATGACAGAAGTTACACTCCAACACATTTTTCTTTTTTGTCACTCAGGAATCTTGTTAAATATATAAATCTTGCAAATAAAGATAAATAATTGGACGCATCACCCCTGTTGTTTAAGGAGCAAAGGGTCCTACTGGAGCTCCCCACACCCCTTATTTATACCCATCAAGCCAATGCTTTTGCTTCCTCTAGATTGATCTTCAGAATCAGAAGAAGGTGGCTGGGATTATCACCCAGGGGGCTCGTGACTTTGGGCACATTCAGTACGTGGCAGCCTACAAAGTGGCCTATAGTGATGATGGACGGTCCTGGACCCTTTTGAAGGACAGCAGGACCAACAACACCAAGGTAGGTTTGGACAAATTTTCGGTGGGATAGATGCGCAGCTCACATTTCTCGTTGCCGTCGCTGTAGGCTCCCGCAAGTACAGAAATTGAGCCTGTCTGCAGAATGCTCTTGCTTTACGGGGCTGCTTCTCCTTAAAATGCTTCTGTGTACTTTGTTCTGTGATTGCTAAGGGTGCCCATGTGCTGATAAAAAAAACACAAAGACTGTGGGAAAACACACCCAACTGTCAGCATTGGACACATGCCTGTGCTGTGTGCTGGTAGCAACAGACATGGCCTCTGTCATGCTGCACCCCTGTAGTTCCTGAGGGAGGGGTCTGTCCATTCCATTTCTCCTGGGGGTGGGGGCTGTTGTTCCACATCAGTGGGAGGGAGTAGGCATAGAACTTGATCTCTAGGTCTTCACAGTGGTTCGCTAAACTGAAGCCTTCAAACAAACCTACACAGCTGCCAGAGAACTGGACACTCTGAGCCCACCATTAAGAAGCCAGTGGTGTGGGGTGGGGTGGGGTGGTGTGGTTAACTCCAGCAGTCTGGGTTCTAATTCCTGCTCAGCCATGAAGCAATGATGTAAGCCACTTTGAGTTCTTAAAAAGAAAAAGGTGGGATAGAAATCTAATTAATCAATTAAAGATGCCATGGCTGCCTGTAGCCCTGGATGTAGCATCTGCCAGATGCATCCCTGTAGCCCCTTTAGGGTGGGTTCTGTCCAGTCCGTTTCACTGAGGCACAATGGGGAGCACTGCAGGGGGAAGGGCAGGCATGTCAGCATGCCCTTCAGCCTGCTGCTTTCCTCTGGCTTTAAGTGAGCGAAGGCATGTACAGTGTGCAGTGCAAAGCTGGTTATGGATGTCTGCCCCCGGTGACTGACATCGGTACTGCAGGTTTTAACAACCCAGACTTACATTACATTATATTCATTAATTTCATGAGTTTTAAAAACAAAATAGCCCCAGAGTGCACACCCCCAGGGTCCTCTTAGTAGTCGTGCAGGTGTGTAGTTTTATGGTTCTAAACAGGTGTCTGCAGATTTATTCTGAAGAGTTATTCTCTACCTTTCAGCCAGATGCTTCTAAAGGACAGACAATCATAATGCAGCCCTCCAAATAGCCCATTTTCACCCCAGCAGCTCTTGGTCCTCTGGCCAGTGGGCAGGGCCAGGTGATCTCCCCTGAGCTGAGATGCTTCCTTTGTGAAGCAGGCCAGGGGCTACAGGTTACTTCACTTCTGCTCTGCAGTCCCAGGGAAGCTGATACAGGTGCTAAGAGCGCCTTCTGGCAGGGAAGGGAAGCAGGCTCCCCACAGCTGCTTCTCTGGCCAATGGATGGGATGAAGCAGGGCTTCCCCTCATCACAATGTTCTTTCTGGCATATAGGAAGCCCTTTATCTCCAAGAAGCTCTGCGATGAGGGGAGGAAGGAATAATATAACCTCACAACAAACCTATTAGGGTTTGATTCTAGCAATTACAATTGCTCCATCCACTGATGTTGGTGCTCAATGGACATTGCAACCTGGTTTTCCCAGCTGCAGGGCCACATTGAGTTTTAATAGCACTTTATCTGTCCTGAAAAAAACAAAACAGTTAATTCTTACCACAATCCTACAAGGTAGGTTGACCTCCCTTCCTCCCTCTATGGTCATGACTCTCCAATTGCTTTTTTGCTTCTCTTGTTACCCTTTGCACCTTCTAATGCATCTCTGTCTCCTCCCAACACAGGTATTTGAAGGCAACCACGACAATTACTCGCACAAGAAGAACGTGTTTGATGTGCCCTTCTATGCACGGTTTGTGCGCATCTTGCCCGAATCCTGGCACAACCGCATCACATTGCGTGTGGAGCTTTTGGGCTGTGACGAGTAGGTTCCTTCGGTGTGGGAACCACAGAGTGGAGAGTGGACCAGTTTCTCTTCGTCCTTTTTGACCTTCTCCCTTAGACACGGGGCATTTGCTGTTCTGACATTTTCTCCCTGCCTTGCCATTGATAAAGATGCCATCCCCCATGTGGGTCAGAGTGTCAGAGGAACAGTGTTACCCCACTTCCCCAGGTGGAGCTAGCAGCTATGCAAAAATGGGGGTCTTTCTGTCTCCGCATGCTGTCTTCCCTCCCCACATCTCAGTCTTGCTTTTAGGGAATATGCAGCAGCCTAGTCACTCTCCTTGCAACTTCATACCTGGCCAGCCTTGACTTCTCATGGCTTCCTAGCACTGCACTTTAAGGAACATTTTGTGTGATGGGGCTCTTGCTTTTACAGGTCCAGTTTTGTTTTCCCTCAGGGCATGAATAGATACTGCAGACTTAAGCTGGTTTTCAGTCCCTTTCTCTGGATTGTTCTGGGAACTGTAGTTTGGGGCTAGAGCTGTCTCACAAAGTAGATGGTTCTCTCCTGGACGTTCAATTTTCAGGATCCTTTGAAGGGAGCCACTGTAGTTAAACTGGCTGAAAACGGATACACGTTTTGTAATCTAGCTGTGGTATAGGTGAAAGGCAGATCTGTGTATAGTCTACATTTTTAAAAAAATTAGAAGTATGATTTTTTAAAAAATTAGAAGTATGATCCAAATTCAGCACCAAGAAAGCTGAGTCTTTTTCAGGAAGTTGCAAATTGGGTAGATGTGCCCACTTAGGCATACTGTATTCTGCTTTTCTTGTCCTGCCCCATGACTCTAAACCTAATGGCTTATTAAATATCCCTGGAAACTGCCAAGCATACTCTGCCCACACATGTTCAAGTGTATTTTCAAGCCATAAGGGCTAGAAGCATGTTTTTTGTTCAACAGCAATGAAAGCAGGACTGTTTGTGCGATGCCACCTTCAAGTGCACAAACTCGGCATGGCTGGAGTCTCTTTTCCTATTTGTAAAATTTCTCAGGATTCCAGATATCGGAGACCAGGTGCCTAAATACACCTCCCCTCCCCCACCACCACACTTTGTAATATGCATATAACATGCTGTGACTTACAGAGGAGCAAGTCTTTCAATGAGCCCAGTGTCTTTCTCACCTTTTGTGGACTGAAAAAGTCACAAGGATTTTTATCATCCTGCTCTGTTAACCATGCTCTGAGTCTCCCCTCAAATGCTCTGTATTGTCAGGCTGATGTCTCATTTGGTTGAAGTGCCATGAAGAGGCAGAACATTGGGAAGGGGAAAGAAAGGACAACCTTTAAAATGAGAACAAATGTGGGCTGCCCCTTTAAAGGGGGGAGGTGAGTGTGGCATGAGGGGCACTGTGTGGCTTTCAGTAAGACAAACCTAACCAGAGGAGCTTCGAGAAGGGCACTGTTTGAGACCTGGAAGCAACTGACTCGGCACAAAAGAATAAGAAGTCATAGGAAAATTGTGACGGTTGTGACGGTGGCTTCCCAGCTGGACACAGTGTGAAGTAAAAACTCACAGTATTAAAACAACTTATGATCTCTGCTTTTTGACCTCTGCTTTCAGTCCCAGGAAGAGCCAATAGATGAGAAGGGGAAAACGCTTTATAAGACTGGAATGGCAAACATGTTACGGCTTCTTTTCATGTCACTTGGCTCAAGGTAACCCCAGGTAGAACCCATGAAAACTTTCCCCAGATAGGGAGCCACAGAAGTGAATGGTCAAAATTTCCCAAAGCTCCTGGCACCCACAATACTGCTGGGGTGTTCAGAGCCACAGAAGTGGCTCCTCTGAAATTTAGAATCTTGGAATGCAGAAAACATAGAAACATAGGAAGTCAGAAACGGGTTTCTTGGACCATCTAGTCTGACCCCCTAGCGCTAGCTGGCTTCACTCACATAATACCCAACATGTGGGTGTCCAATCTTTCCTTGAACACCCTCACTGATGGACCTCCCCCCCACCTCCTGTGGAGGCCCATTCCATATCCTAGTGGTCCTAATAGCCAGGAAGTACTTCCTGATAACCAACCTGAAATCCAGTTCCTTGAGCTTTGCCCCATTGGACTGCATCCTTCCCTCCACCACGGGGGAGAACAGGTCATGACCCTCTACCATGTGGCCCCCCTCTCATACCTATATGTTGCTATAAGATCCCCCTGAGTCTCCTCTCTTCTAGGCTGAAAAGACCTTGCTCCCTCAAACTCACCTCCTATGGCATCCTCTCCAAATTGGCTACCATCCTTGTGACTCTGCAATGAAATACACATTTCTTTGGTTTGTAAATCCCAACCTATGAATGAAGCTCAACATGCTCTGAATTTCAAGTTCAGCTTCTCATTTTTCAGCGCGTCACTAGAGTAGCTTCCCTCTCTTCCTTGCTAAACCTTCCTTGGCAGAAGTTAAGAAGGGCTCCTGCTGTGGCTTTCTTCAGACCCTGGAACAATGGAGCAGCATGGTGGGTGCCAGAGGCCCCAGAAAATAAAGTTTTCCAGGGCATCTTGGTTTATGTTACAATTCCAGGGATGCTGTTACAGCTCAAATGCTCAGCGTTTCAGAACTGCCAAGCAGGTTTTGGTGGAAAGAGTTGTATATATGTAGGAGCAGACAAGTGAGTAAGTAGACCTTTGGACCTGGTTGTGATCCTGGGGATATCGGAGAATTATAAAATGACCTAATCCTTGGAGTGTGTGAAAACTTAAAATGTACCAATTTGGACTTGCTCCAAATCCAGCTCATTTTAAGCAAGTGTATTTAAAATTGAGCTTAGGAAGGCTCATCTGTTATGAATTATTGAAGTTCTGCCACGATATGTAGCATATACCAAGGAGCTAATGGTAGAACCAGTCTGTAGAACCAGCCAAGATGCCCTGTGGCCCATCTCCTAGCCAAAGGAAAGGGGTTAGGAACAGGGCACCATTCATGTGCTTCCTTTATCCAGTTGCTGTCTTCCATGCAGGTATGCCCACTGAAGCCTTAAGCACATCCAAGGGGTGGGCAGTATGCACACCACATAATCCCCAGATTATTATTACTATTTTTGTGAATCAGAAGAAAAATGGCATCTACATTTGCTCTAGGATGCCCAAATTGTTGAAAATTACTTGGCAACAATCTATTTTCGACCGTTTGGTTGCTTTGTAGCTACTATGGACACTTTTTTTTTTAATTTCCTTTGCCCCTTTGAAATGGGGAGGGGGGAAATGGGTCCTAGTCCTCCTGATGTTGCCCAGGGGTGGCTTATATTGGTCCTAGCTAATGCTAACCAGCCTTTAGACACTAGGTTAACAGAAGACTTGCTTAGTCTTAGCCCTGATTTATACCAGTGCAGCTTATATAAACTTCACAATAGGTTACGGCTGCTGAAGAGGTGGGATGGAGGTGGGGGGGCTGTTGTGAGGGCACTTGTCCTTCCACCCAGCCAAATAATGTCAGTGGATGAACAGACAGCATTTGGTCCCTGGCCAGCATGGGCCAGATGGGATGCCTGTACAGGCTTGAGGTTCCTTATTCCCTGGGTGTTCGTAATTACATGGCCCTTATCATCCCCCATGCCTTAAGGCAGTGGTGGCGAGCCTATGGCGTGTGTGCCGCAGTGGGCACGCAGAGCCCTCTCTGTCAGCACGTGAGCCAAGTTGCCCCAGCATCACCCCAGCAGGCAAGCATCGGATACCAGCGCACACAGGAGCCAGGAGATGATGTCACAAGCCAGGACTTATTAGCTGTGACTCGTCCAAGCTTTCGCATGGCTGGTCAGTGCGCTGCCAGGGATATTGAGTTGTTTTTTCTCAATTAAAGCCTCAGGATTCAGGTTTTATTGCAGTGTTGCCACTTTGTGATAGATAAGTGGGTTTTGGGTTGCAGTTTGGGCACTCGGTCTCTAAAAGGTTGCCACGCTGCCTGAAGGTGCGAGTAGCACTCTGTCTGGGCCAGCCTACAGCAGTGAGCCAGCTCCACAAGCTTTTTCAAGCACCTGCCACACCAGCTAGAGACCCTCTCACCATGTTTTACTCCGCACTGGCCTTTTTGTTGCTTCTTGCTCTCTCTGCAATGCCTTTTCTTTAAATATTGTAATATCTAACTGAAGAGGGAGAATGGGCTATATAGATTTGAATGTAGCAATGTCAATGTATGCATATGGAGTGTGTAATATGTGTGTGTACATATAGACACATGTACACATACACGGACATATGAAAATGTCAGTTTCTCTGGGAGCTCTGCATAAAGTCCAAATATCCAAATAGGCATCCATTCACATGTGATGTTTACACAGCCTGTTCCGCTATAGAAGATGCAAAATCATCAGTCCATGGCATGCTAGGAGGTGAGTGTTTGTGTTTCCAACTGCAGCAGCAGCAGCCTGACAGTTGCCCAAAGGAGACAGAGAATCCTCTTGCACTCCTGCCACAGGTAGGTAAGAGACTGTTCGTCCATAAATATCCAGGAGTCTTCCATGGTGCAATTTACCAGCATAATGACCTCTTCCCCAAATACGCCAGCTACTGGGCATTGTCAAAACAGATGCTTAAAAGAAGGGTTAGTTAATGCCACATATCCAACAATGAGCTGACGTAGACAGATCCCTATGCAAGAGGCAACCCGAGTTGCATGGTCGCATCAGGTACAGATGCAGTACTACAGGAGCAAAGCTGCACAGCACAGGTCTGGTCGAGGCAACATGGCTGCTGCTCCCCTGGAGAAGGCCGTGCTGGCCTTTAACAGGAGACATTTTTTATCCATGCAAGCTCAGCCTGTCTTTGATTCAGGCGCTTCTGCTTTCTCTGCCATGGAGGAAACAGGCCACGTACTGAAGGCATCTGGCGGGTCTGTTTATATTATCCTTTTGCTTCCTCCACTCCTGGCACTTCCGCTAAAGGACTGTTTTCCATCTTAACCCCCTGCCCCTCCTGACTTTTGATATCAGTCTGCAGGAACCTGGTGCCTGGCAGATGTGCCGGACTCCTCACTCAAATCTGTCACAGCCAGCAGGAGAGGATTCTGGGAGTTCCAGTTCAACCACATGATGCAGCAGCAGCAGCAGTCTGCCTGGCCCTCGTTCAGCTCATGGGCTCTGTGCATGCAGACTGGCAGAAGGTCTCCAGGGCTTCAAGTGGTTCTCCTACTTGACCCTACCTAGAGATAACATGGATTTGACCCGGGAGCTCCTGTGGGCCAAGGGGAAGCCTGACCAGTGAGCCACAGCCCGTCCCCTGCCATTAGATGACCTTCCACTAGGTGCTTGAGGTATGGTCTGGACTGTTGCTCCACAAATGCTCGCCAGCTCTGGCTCTGCTGCCTTCCCATCAACCCAGAACACCACACCTGGGATCCTAGGGTGACAGCCGCGACCCATGCCAGCAGAGGGTTGTGCAAGGGAACGCCTTGTGGCATTGGTGGCGGCGGCGGTGGCCGCTGCTGCTGGAAAGCCAGGCTCAGGAGAGGAATCTATCTATCTATCTATCTATCTATCTATTTATTTATTTAAAACATTTCTTTGCCGCCCCCATCACAACAAAGCCTCGGGGCGGCTCACAACCGAAACAAAAACAAACAAAATCATACAAAAATTTATACACTAAAAATATTAAAACCCAGTGCATCTCGGCTTAATTTTTTTAAAAATCCTACATAATAAATTAACACTTAAAATAAATTTTAAATAAAAAGGTCTTAGCCTGGCACTGAAAAACAATTAACGACGGCGCCAAGATGAACCTCTCTGGGGAGCGCATTCCATAGGTGGGGCGCCACCACAGAGAAAGCCCTCCTCCGGGTGCTCGCCCTCCTAATGTCATTCACAGAGGGTTCCCGGAGAAGGGCATCTGTTGCTGATCTCAAGGGGTGGGAGGGCATATATGGACGCAAGCGTTCCTTTAGATACCCAGGACCCAAGCTGTTGAGGGCTTTATAGGTCATAACCAACACCTTGAATTGGGCCCGGACTTCAATTGGGAGCCAGTGGAGCTGACGGGGACTGGGCATTGTTCTCATATAACCCAGTTCTCCGTCAGCTCCACTGGCTCCCAATT